GTACTTTAAAGCACATAAATTAGTTACCCGGGCAATTGAATCAATTAGCCAATCAGATGAATGTCGGCCTATGACCCTAACATTAATACTGTATATCAGATATCCTAAACTTCACGATAAAAACAATTTCGTTATGTCTTGGATAATTAAATATAAGAGAAATTTGCTGAAAAGTATAATTGATTTAGACTTGCTGCTTACGCGACCTACACGTCAGTTATACTTCTCCGATAAGTTTTCGTTTATACCCATTTGCCCCAAATATAACTATTGCTATCATAATCACATTGGTACAGTGATAATTCTTTTGAACAGAGAATGCTGCTTCGTGACATTCTCTAATCAAAAACATCATTCACAATGTATTTAATGTAGGGTTATCCAAGTTACAAAACGTCGCAATTTTATCGTATGATTTCGTTTCACGATTTATCGTACGATTTCATATATATATTTTTTTTCGTCAAGGATATGCTCGATTAAGTTTTGTGTCTATCATGTGCACACGAATAAATGTTAAATATGATTGGTATACTAAAATAGCCAACTGAAATACACGATATATAAATTGAACGTCTAATAATGTATACTCCGATTTTCTGACCAATCAAATTTGTCATGTAACTGCACGTGCATAAAAAAAGAAAATTATAATTAGTAATCTAATAAAAAATATTTCTTGACCTTACATTCTGATTGGGTAGTAATCACGGAACCGGCAAATTTTCGCGCCGTGATAGATAATCTCAGGTTTAAATATACATAACTCAATCAGAATGGACTAAATCTCTATAGTAAATTGGGGTCTTTGCCTTGAAAATCACCCTCCGAAATATCCAATCGGACTAATTCGGACAAAAACAAATCCGTCTATTAGTTCACATTATATCTTAATCTCTTTTTGCCTTTATTGATTCGAAACTTTATTCTATAAACTATTGAACCATAAAGACAAAAGGAGTTTACATATAAACATGAACTAATACACAGCTTTGTTTTTGTCCGAATTAGCCCGATCGGAAATGTCGGAAGGTGATTTTCAAGGCAAAGACCCCAAATTATCTCAGTTGATATCTGGCACGTCCTTATATTCGGTGTAAAGAAATTCAATTAAATAATCTAGGATAGCCAATTCGTGGAGATAGTTGTACTGCAATAATTATCACTGTCTAATAAGGTAGGTAGAAAATTTAACTTTATTACTATTATTCAATCAATATAATTCATATAACTATAAGTATATAATCAAAAAATCCAAAAAAAATTCCACTATAATCATTTAATGTAATAGAATATTATAAAAAATATTGTATCTTTTCCTATAAAATAATTAATCGAAGTAATTAGATAACGTAGCATAAATAGATTGAATATATGATAATATATATATACTTTTCTGTCAATAGACATCTGTTGAGAAGGACCATCTCTGTCGTTTTCCGGTGCAGCATCGAATACATTGAAGAACCTTTGCCCCCCAACACCAACTTCCAGAATCGATGCCATATTACCACAACGGTAACAATAATTCGGTGCTGACCAAACAGTCGACAAACGATCATCATAAAGAACCTATAATCATTAGGGTAAATGGGATAATAATATACATTCGATATTATCCAATATTGAAATATCGCATTTTTACGTTTCCGTTCTACTTGCCTGAAATCCTTCCATGCATAGTTGATGCGCACGTAGAATATGTTCCATTTGATTTATTTCAAGAAATTTTTTGACAACTTGTCCACCAAAAGTATACCCCGCACCCCTAAAACAGAGACAGCATAATTTGAAAACAACAAATGCAAAAAAAAAAATTGGTGAAATAAACGTAAGATATATAATTTATATACAAACCTTGGTGAAATGGCAAATTCATCTTTGTCTGGGTCAGGATCGGACCAAACTAAATCAGCCATTGGGCCTTCATGTGGAATTTCTACAAGGTAAAATAGTCTGATTAGCACCATTAAATTTATTAAAAATTGCTCGTTCGTGAGTTTGAGTATGGATTGCTAAATACCTCTAAATCGATCAAGAATTTTTATCTGGTCTATGCTGTGTATGGATGGCGAAAGTCCTAATTGGACAGGAATAATGACTACTTAATATTTCTAATCGAACATAAAATACAAACAAAATTTGATAATTTATTTACCACCATGAACGCAAAAAATTTTGTTGTCTATTACCACGGATAAAGTAAGGAAGTCAAACATATCCGTAAAGTAATTCCAGACGTGTGTCGAACCGTATTTCCTAACACATTCAGTATAGAATCCATAGGTCTAAGAAATTGTAAAGATTTAATTGAAACATGAATGAAAAGGACATGAAAAATACAAGCTGTTAAATTATAACGTTGCTATATTTACTTGAGTAACTGCTCTTGATTCATGATTTCCTCTTACAAGCTGTACTCTATCAGGATAGCGTAACTTGAGACAAGTCAGTAACGAGATAGTTTCCACGCTAAATAGCCCCCGATCCACGTAATCGCCTGCAGGAAACCGAACAAGGCGAATGTTTTGTGAACATTCGACTGAATCACCTTTATTGTTCAAAGCTTTTGAATGTGGCTTAAAATCTTTAAAGTACCAAGGAACAGATAATTTGTATGCGGACAATAACCCCCAATTCTAAATATTTCTATCAGGTCATAAAATTGCCTGTAACAGTGTATATATTTTGTTAATATAAAAATTATATTTTTTGCTAAGATACTGAAAAATTGGAATGATATTAAAGCAGTAATAATGCTTCCCATAAACGTTACCCGTGGATATCACCAACAACTGTTACAGGTGCAGAAATATGAATTACGTTGCTTTCACGCATTAGTAACTCTTTGGTTTTTTCGCAAATCTCTTTAAGAAGCGATTCATCGAGAAGTTGTTTCTGAAGTAACTGAGAAATACAAGCGTCAAGGTCTAGGCCCATTACAGAGATGTAATTTAGTCTGAAACAATGTTGAAAGTTAATAAAAGCAACTTTTTGCCGAATATATAGTCATTCTTTGGTTAGAAGTTACTCTAACAATTTTTTTGTGCGAGTTCGAGTTTATTATTAGTGTCACATGTCGATTTCCTAGTATTGATTAATGAATTTTCGAAATCAGCTTTTCTTCATTCTCACTTTTTTTTGTGATGTATAAAAAAAAAAAGAAAAAAGAAAAGAGTATCCAATTTCAAAGTAATTAATAAAATTAATTAAAATGATAGCATCAATTTCTTCGAAATTTTCAGAAAATACTTCAACCGATGTTTCTGACTCATCTGTAAAAATACAACAAAATCGGCAGTCTCCAAGACAATCACGAACACACCCCGACACTTCGTCGGATTCTGGCTCTCAGCAAGGCGTAAGAAGGTCCCGGAGAACGTCATTACGTGAAAAACAGACCAATTATGCAGAAGCAACTAGTTCTTCATCTTCAGAATCAGAGGTCAAATTAGGTGTGAGAAGGCGGCGACTAAGTTCACACAAATCTGGAGAGGATTCAGTCTCATCTTCAAATTCTGATTTGGAATCTCGGCCAGCAATTAAAAGAGCTCGTTCTTCTCGTGACTCTCAATCTCCTAAAAAGTCAAGCAGTTCTTCACTTTCTGAAATTTCAGAAAATTATTTATCTTCTGCTCTGGATAGTGAAAGTGAGACGCAAGAACCACCGTCACCTCCCGAAACACCTAGTTTGCCACTTCAAAAACGCCGTTCATCTCAATCAGAATCATCAGATGATACATCTGAAGACACTGATAGAACCTCCGAACCTCCATCACCTCCAGGAACTCCAATACCGTACGATCCATGTAAAATCTGTGGTGGATTTGAACCATTAGATTCACAATATCCACTTCTGGTTTGCGCTGGTTGTCAAATATGTGTTCATACAGGTTAGTTGTGATGTTTTCATATTATAGGCACAACAATTTATCGAACAAATATTTCATCACACATGTATTTTTTTTTTTCAGATTGTTATGGAATATCCAATCGTAAACCAATGGGAAGAAGCTGGCGTTGTGACCCATGTCTTAATGGAAGAGTTCGCAGAGCAATTAAAGTGTGTATTTAATGAATTTATAAGAACAAGGATTCCAAGTTTTCCGTTCTGTTATGAGTTTTTTACGATATCATGAATTTTAGGTTAAAAAATGTGTGCTATGCAGTCGCCCAGAGGGTGTAAATAATGCGATGAAAAGAACTAATGGTAATAACTGGGTTCACGTTTTGTGTGCTACATTTATTCCCGAAACCTCATTCTATGACGCAGAAAATGTCTTCCTAGTCATGGACATTGAAGATATTAAAGATGAGAGTTGGGATGCAGTAACTTATCTACCAAATTTCTAGATTTGTTGTGTTTTATCTGTCAATTTGTTAAATTTCTTTTTATTTTTAGATTTGCTCTATATGTCAGATACGTGGAGGTGCTTGTATACGGTGTTCTAATTATACGTGTAAAAAATATTTACATATTACATGCGCGCAAGAAGCAGGTTGTAATATAGGATTTGAATTAAAATCTCCAAAATTAGCCTCTTCACAACAAGATTTGTCCCAAAAATTATCTCCATCTAAACATAATTCGGAAGAATCTCAAGGTAATATGGAACAGCCTATATTTGATGAGATTTCTCAATGTGAAATGGTCTCTAGAGTTTTTTGTTATGAACATTCTGATTTACCGGAGAACTTTGTGAAATTAAATATTCGCGATTCACATTCTCATGAGGTATCTTTTTCTTAATTAAAATGTATCAAATATACTATACTCTATTTTATTTGTATCAGTTAAATTCCTATATTCATTTTATTTTAGTCGGCTCTGTATATTTATATAAAAAAATATAAGCGATATGATCCATCTCTTCGAGAATACAAGCTAAAGACACGATATACGCTAACAATTCCAGACCATGTTCGAGTTGCAATGAATGCGTATGAAACATGGTACGAACAAAATACAAGCGATGATGAAATGGAAGAAGAGGATATGGTTGATACTATGGCAAAATTTGAGGATCTTAAAATACAGAATTATATCATACGTCCTTCGAATAGACAGTGTTCACATTGTTCAGTTACACGTACAATCAAATGGTGGCCTGCGAAATGGTCTTATTTACCAAGACCTTCAATATTCTCTGTACGAGATGTAAGCGTTGTAATTTGCCACAGCTGCTTTCAGAAAGAAAGGGCTGTTACCAAACCCAATTTTTGAATTATGCCATTATCACGTAACTTGAATTTAGAATCAGGATTTCTATCTCATTTGGAATAATAACTAATTCCAATATACGTCCCATCTTCAGTCAGAGTGTCAAACTAAAAAACCAATAAATTTGTTGAATCAATGCTATAAATTATTAAAACATCGAGAACCTTAGGGTGGTTTAGTGAATAGACAGGTGTGTTGAATAAAAGTGATTTCTTAAATATAATACAGGAATAATTAATGTATGCAATAAGTAGAAAAATAATTATAAAAGAATTTTAGGGTACAGATTGTATAAAAATCATGTGCAGAAAATTTGAAATATAGTGGTGGTAAAGTTAGCCAAAAAAGGTTATTATATAAATAATAGGCTTTTGTGTAAAATTGATTGTCAGAATGAAAAATATAAAAGAAAAATTAATATTTCTATAATATAAAGTTAATTTGGATAAATTTAGAAGTGGTCAGATGTTATACAAAATCATGTATAGTGGAAAGTAGGGTTGTTAAATAGAGTAGTAGATCACTCTGGAGTAGCTCCAGTTTGACTTCAAACCAACATGAAGTAGATTAAAATTTAATAAACTGGAGTAAACCAGATCATTAAACCAGGCTAATAAATGAAGTAAACCAGTTTATTAAACTGGAGTAAACTGGTTTATTAAACCAGTTTATTAAACCAGTTTAACAAACTAGTTTAACAAACCGGTTTGATAAACCAGTTTAATAAACCAGTTTAGTAAACCAGTTTATTAACCTAGTTTAATAATCCAGTTTATTAAACCAATTTATTAAACCAATTTATTACATATTAATATATATATATATTATAGAATAGCACAGTTAAAAATAATATAGACATTATGATAATTGGTAGCACATTATATGAATATTATGTATTAAATGACATGTATACAGAAACTTTAAATTTTTTAATATACAGCAACTGTATAGTAACTATGTAGTAATTATATAATTACTATATCATTACTATGCAGTTACTGTATATTAAGACATTTAAGTTTCTATAAAGTAGTCTATTAATTATATATTTAATCAGTAATATTATATATTACTTTATTTTTCAAAAAAATTTCTACTTGGATATGGTCCAGTGTAAAAAGATTTGTATATCAAATTTAAATTATTATTATTATTTTTTTTTTTTTTTATGCAAGCCTGCCTTTATTAATGTAAACTACTATATGAATACACTATAACAAGTACATATAGTTTTCATATAGTAAATAGTTCTAATCTAATAAAAACTCACTAGATATACCTAAATACTATCCAATGCGACTTGCTATAACAACTATTAGTCTCACTCGGGATCTAAAACTTGCTTCAGATTTTGTATTGTCAAGAATACCCCCTCGATTATTTGACAGGTTGTTGTATATTGCGTCGGGATTTCTTTTTTCCTTTCTAATTCTTCCTTCTTCTCAAAGGGCACGAGACAAAAAGGAAAAATTTTCCAACAAAGAATAACAAAAATAACCAGAAAAAAAGAAGAAAAAAACAGAAAAGAAAAAAGAAATACTAATTGCGAAAAAGAAAAAGCATAAAAAGAAATCTAAAACCCTAACGGCACTATTATCCCTTAAACCGTCTAGCGTACAAATTTGTACGCTAAAATGATTTTTGGCCTGTTTTTGTGCATTTACTCAA